GAAGAGATCCAATCATACCTCTGTAGAGTTTCTGATCTACTTTCTTACTTACCTCATCTTTTCCCAAAATGCATGTAGGGTCCATTGGTGTCTTTGCTTCTTTACTTTCGGATAGCTGGAACTTCTTCAGGAGTTCTTTAACATACTTTGTTTGATGTATGTAAGTATCTTCTGGAGTCTGATTTATTTGAATTCCCAGAAAGAATTTTAGTTCTCCCATCATGCTCATCTCAAATTCAGCCTGCATAGACTCAACAAATTCTCTTCCAAGAGAGACATTAGAAGTTCCAAAAATAATATCATCTACATATATTTGACAACTTAAAATGTCATTTTTAAGTGTTTTTCTGAATAAGGTAGTGTCCACTTTCCCTCTGGTAAAATTCTTTTCTAAAAGAAAGTTACTTAGAGGTTCATACCAAGCTCTGGGAGCTTGTTTCAGACCATACAGAGACTTTTTCAGTTTAAAAACATGTTATGGATATTTTGAGTCATCAAAACCTGGAGGTTGATGGACATAAACTTCTTCTTCTATGTAACCATTTAAAAATTAACTTTTAACGTAAATTTGATATAATTATATGTTATGTTGAACAACAAAATAAATTAATAATCTAATTGATTCTAACCTGGCGACTGGGGAAAAAGGTTCATTATAATAAATTCCTTCTTTTTGACTATAACCTTGTGCAACTAGTCGTGCCTTGTTTCTTACAACCTCTCCTTGGTCATATAACTTGTTTCTGAATACCCATTTTGTTCCTATGATATTGAATCCTTTAGGTTTTGGAACTAGATCCCACACATCATTTCTGGAAAACTGATTTAGTTCTTCTTGCATAGCGAGGATCCAATCATTGTCTTCCAGAGCTTCCTCTATTAAGGTTGGCTCAATCAGAGAGACCAATTCAAATAGTGATTCTTCATTGTTTCTGAGGAAGGATCTTGTTCTGATGGGATCTTCTTTCTTTCCAATAATCACATTTTCTAGATGTACTGATGTGATTCTGGGGAATCTTTTCTCTGAGGTTTCTTCAGAAATTCTTAGATTGTCCAGAGAATTTTCAATAGAAGGATCTTTTGATTTGTCCTTTTCTTCTGACTCTTCAGAGTTTGTAAGACGATCTTCTGTACCTGCAGGATTTTCATTCCTCTTTGGCTTTTGCTGGCCAAGCTTATCATCAAATCTGAGTTTGATTGATTCTTCAACAATCAGAGTTTCTATGTTGTATACCCTATAGCCTTTTGAGCATTCAGAATATCCAAGCAGAAAAAACTTTTGTGCCTTAGAATCAAACTTGTTCAGATTATCTTTAGTATTCAGAATATAGAATGTACATCCAAAAGGATAAAAATATGAAATGTTGGGTTTTCTGTTTTTCCACAATTCATAAGGAGTCTTTTCAAGAATATGTCTTATAGAGACTCTATTTTGAATATAACATGTTGTGTTCACTGCTTCTTCCCAGAAGTGTTTAGGCATATTGGTTTCATTAATCATGGTTCTGGCCATTTCTTGCAGAGTTCTATTCTTTCGTTCTACAACTCCATTTTGTTAGGGAGTTCTAGGACAAGAGAAATCATGAGAAATGCCATTTTATTTAAAAAACTTTTCAAAATAATGGTTTTCAAATTCTCCTCCATGATCACTTCTAACTTTTATGATTCTAAATTCTTTTTCATTTTGCACTTGGTTGCAGAAGTCAAAGAACACAAAATGTGACTCATCCTTGTGTTTTAAAAACTTAACCCATGTCCATCTGTTGTAGTTATCAAAAATGACCAATCCATACTTCTTGCCTCTGATGGATGCAGTTTTAAATGGTCCAAACAGATCAATGTGAAGAAGTTCCAACGGCCTAGAGGAAGAAACAACATTTTTTGACTTATAAGAAGATTTTGAAAATTTTCCTTTCTGACATGCTTCACACAAAGCTTCTGAGTTGAACTTCAGATTGTGAAGTCCCCTGACCAGATTGAGTTTGTTAATTTGAGATATTCTTCTCATGCTTACATGTCCCAATCTTCTGTTCCAGACCCATTACTCATCGCTAACAGACATAAGGCATTTTACATTCTAAGTTATAAGGTCAGAAAAATCAATTTTATAGATGTTGTTCTTTCTCTTGCCAGTAAAAAGGATTGTTCCATCTTTTTGACTAACAGCTCTACAGGATTTTTGATTAAAGATTACGTCATAACCGTTGTCACTTAATTGACTTATGGACAACAAGTTATGCGTTAATCCTTCTACCAACAGAACATTAGATATAGAAGGAAGGTTACCATTTCCAATGGTTCCAGAACCAATAATCTTTCCTTTCTGTTTTCCTCCAAATTTGACATCTCCTCCAGATTTAAGTTCCAGACTTATGAACATAGACTTTCTTCCCGTCATATGTCGTGAGCATCCAGAGTCCAGGTACCATGACTAGTATTTCAATTCTGTTGTTAAGGACATCTGCAACATATATTATTTTCTCCTTAGGTACCCATATCCTTTTGGGTGCTTTTTGGTTAGAGTTTCTAATGTTCTGTTTGAACTTTGATTTAGCATAAAAATTTTCAGAGTGAGATGTGTATTTGATATCATGTGTGTGCCCAAAACTAAATTGTTTGTGCAGTGGTTTATATGTGATAACCATTTCCTTAACAGGTTTAGGTTTATATGTTTCTTTCTCTTTGGGAGTTTCATATCCAATTCCTCTTCTGTTATTTCCACTAACACCATAGATCATTGAAGCCATTTTGATTCTATCTATGCTTTTAGCAACAAATGTTTGAAAACTAGAGTCATATTCTTTAAGAATATCTCTTGAACTTGAAGAAGAATCTGAAATAAAAATCTTTTGAACTTTTTTAACTTCCTCTTTGAGTTTAAAATTGTTTTCTTTAAGTTCAGAGTTTTCTGTTTCAAGTTTCTCAAAATCAGATGCAAGATTCTTTTTGAGTTTCTTGTATTTGATTTTGAGTTGACTGTAGTTTTCAAGAAGTTCTGATAAGATGTCTACAAGTTCGGCTCTAGAGAATTCAGAGAATACCTCTTTCGATTCTGAATCAGAGTTTGAGTAATCGTCATCTGCTGTGGTAGCCATAAGCGCTAGGTTAGCGTGCTCATCTTCTGAGTTAGATTCAGCTTCAGAAGATTCTGAATCATTCGAGGTGGCCATCATGCCTCTCTTTCTTCCAAATCTTTTCTTTGGTCTTTCTCTTTGTACCTTAGGACAATCACTTATGTAGTGTCCTGGTTCTTTACATTCATAGCAGACTATATCTCTTCTGCTTGACTTCTTATGTCCATAAGATTCTGGTTTATCTTCTGACCTCTTGTAATTTCTGAACTTCTTTTGTCTGTGCTTTCACATCTGGTTGATCCTTCTGGAGAGCAGAGGTAACTCATCTTCTTCTGATGCAGAGTCTTCAGAGTTTCCTTCTTCTTCCTTAAAAGCATTAGTTTCACATTTTTTAATAGATTTAAGGGCGACAGACTTACCTTTCTTCTGAGGATCATGTTCATCAAGTTCTATCTCGTGACTTCTTAATGCACTGATAAGTTGTTCAAGAGATACATCATTCAAATCTTTTGACACTTTGAATGCAGTAACTGTAGCGGTGAAAATCGGAGATCAAGCTATTAATTAACTTGACTCACAAAAGCAAGAGTCGCCACCGCGCTTTATTATTTCCAAAGGGAAAAGGGAAAAGAGCGAAATAAAACCCTAAAATATGCAATGTATAATAATACTTAAAAGTAATAAAAAATACAATGCGTTTTTTGAAAGAGATCGAGAGTTCGGGGGTTGGTTATACAATGGGAAGGTATTAGCACCCAGTGCATCTGCGGTACTCCGCAGGAACCTTTTGAAATATCTGTTTTTGGTTAAAATTGTTTGTTTGATTAAAATGGTTCGTTTGGCTAAAAATAGGTGCTGGCGAGATTTTGAAGATACGACGACCTAGTATCGAAGTTTTAACTTACAAAAGGGCGAGTTTTAAAAATTGAGTTTTTTAGAAAAAATTAACTTAATTAACAAAATAATAAAACAAAAATGAAGGCAGGTATTCGCTTAATCGTATAATATGTGTTTGATGACGTGAAGTCAACAAAGTTAGAACATTTCCCTTGGAGTAAAACGAAGACTATAGACATAACATTCACCAACAAAGAAAATTATAAGGGAATAGGCAAACAAATTAAATGAACAATAAGGAGAATCAAATGTGAAGACAAAGAAGGTAAAAGTGTGAAATAGAGATATAATTAAAACAAAGAAATATCCAATCTAAATTAAAGTTCCAAAGTTATCAAAAAGTAATTATAAACTAACTAAAATTCTAAAGTTACTAAACTAAATCTAAATCAAATAAAATTCTAAAACTACTAAACTAAATTTAAATCGAATAAAAACTCTAAAGTTATTAAACTAAATCTAAATCGAATAAAATTCTAAAATTTACTAAATGAAATAAAATTCTAAAGTTATAAAATAAAACTAAAACAAAATAAAATTCTAAAGTTATTAATTATGATTCTAAATATTTTAAAGCTATAAAATAAATCTAAACTGATTAAAAAATCTAAATTAATACTAAACTAAATCTAAATATAAGATTTATTAATATATTTTTTTTATATATTTTTTTTTTAAAACGCAAGCATTATATTCCTCTATAATCACAATAACAAGTTTGCAAGTTTACAGAGAAAAAGAATCCTCTTTCTATTCACTTTGGATGTTCATCTCCTTCTTCCTTCCTCATATCCACACAAATCAAACTTTATTTTTTACAGAAATCAAATGAAAAGAAGATATCTTCGATAGATCAAATAAAGAACAAAATAAGTATGGCAAAGGAAAAGCGAAATACCGATCAGAAATTGAACGTGAGTGGCGGTCTGGCGTGTTGTCCATGTCGAAATCGAATCCGGTAATTGGATGGATGCGCGTCGATTTGGCCGGAACAACAACAAGGGTGTGCGGTGGAGGACCCAGGTAGATTCACTGTGGCATTACAGGAGTGGTGGTGGTCGGTTGCGGTAATGGTGGAGTGGGTAGGAGTTTGGCTAGTGAAATTGAAGGAATATGGTGGATATGGGGGCGTAGCTTCACATTATAGTTTGGATCACGGATGCGTTTCAATGTGTAAGCCTGACAAACATTCAAGGTAGTAATGTAGGAATCACGCAGGCGTAGTCTTTGCTTCAAGTAAGGATCTCCCTCAAGAAGATCCTTGTGCGCAGCCACCTGAAGAAGAAGTTGCTTAGTTTCTTCGAATTTGGTTCTCAACAGCTCCCCAAATGACCATAGATCGTCTGAAACAAGGAGTCTGTCATAAAGAGCAGCAATACCAGGGTCTCCCTTGGCAAACACCATTTCCACTAAATCAATAGTGACCCTAAAGAAAGGCCACTGATTGTACATCTCTTGAAGCATTTGAAGATTTCTAATATCCTTGTCAATAACATGCTTGAATGCTGCCCCAAAGCCTAGCCACACTGGAAGATGAAACCTTGTTTGTGTCCAGGCAAAGATCCATGGTATAGCACGAAGTGTCTCAATACCTCCACTTGGCTTTCACTTTGCAGGTCGACTTCCGATATTCATACGGCCATACTCCAACTCTGGAGTAGCCAGCCTGAAATACTCAACAAATGGAGGATACATTCCATGCTCTAGTGTAGCTGCAGTGAAACGTTGTAGCATTCTGAAACACAAGTGCTGCTCACCAAATGATTGCTCAATAACTTCGCCTTGGACAGTTACACGAAGTGATCCATGAATGGTATCTGGAGGCTGAGACAAGATAGCAAGATGAGTGGGAGTTAAAGGGATGGTGATGTGGTTGAAGAGAAGTAAAGGTTATTAGCGTTGGATCTGTTTTTGTTCCCCATTTTGGATGGGTTGAAACCCATCATTGTGAAGTTCAGAAGATGAACTACTTCATTTAGTGGTTTCAATATTTTTGGGTTCAATGTGTTTGGAATGAAGAGGGTTTTTTTAGTTAGATCTGGAGAAGAAAATGGGGATGAAAAAGGGTGAAGAAGAAAACGTCTCTGTGAGTCATGGATGGAGAGTTGGTTTATGGTGTTGTTCTTTCTCTTTTCTAATTTATCAATCCTGCACTACCTCTTGCAACCAATTAGAAAAAAGAATAGTTTAACAAAAAAAATTAATGATTAAAAATCCCTCTAAAAATAAAAATGACTTAAAAACCTGAAAGTGTACAAATTAATGCAATTTAAAATATATTTTTTGAATTTTTCTGAATAAAAAATAAAGACCCAAAGTGACCGAAAATGATAAAAAAACGGACGAAAATTTATCCGAAAAATTAATATGAACACATTAAAATAATCTACATGTCACAAAGATTAAAGAAAAAATATTCAAGAAGTCAAAAATAAAAAATAATAATGATAAAAATATCAGACTAAACAGACGTTTAAGGTTAAAAACGAGACTTCGAACTGTACCGAAAAAATTAAGCGAGCGTACCGTCATAATCTACGCGAAACGCAGATTCATAAAATGGTCAGTAAAAGGTGAAAACTTGAAATATTTTTCTCACTAATTTTCGCACATTGTTGAATCATTTTTAACAGTTTGTCTATAAAACCAAAATATTTTTATTATCAACATACAAACAACTTGGAGCAATGCAAGAAAATAGTAAACAAATAAAAATGAATGAAGTGAAATGTCGGGCATTTTACAACTGAAAGACGATGCAAACTTTGATTTAAACTGACTTTTTCTGGTCAACTTAAATACGACTAATGATGCAAAATGTGATGAATGAAGATATTTACTAATGATTGTGACCAAATGACAAAATATGGTATGAATGTGCGACTGAAAAAATTAGGGGAGAAATTAAGGGTGCAACGGTTGTGCCTTGATGAATCAGTCTTCGAGAATCCACAATCAACCGTACTTCGGGCTTGGGAGATTCTGAACCCTAATCGAGGCATGACGCCTGATGCTCTTGATTCAGATCTGTTTCCTGCGAATGAAATCAAGAAACAAAAAACACACACTTCGTGCTTGATTAGAAGTTAGTGATACATAGGCTAAGAATGTTCAAAATATTTGACAATTTCTGCATAGTCAAAGCTCGAAGGTGAGACGTTAAAACCGACCGTATTTCGTGACCTTGACTTATCTTGAAAAAATGCAAAAAATAAAAATGGGATCTTAAGTCAAAAATTGGGGTACAACAGTAACCATAGGTGCCCATCTTCTGGGTAAACTTTTGATAATTTTCTTAACATGGTCTGCCTTGGTGTATCCTTTGTTCAGAACTCTCAGGACAGTGGTCAGAGTTTGGAATCTTGAGAACATAGCTTCAATGGACTCATTTTCTTCCATTTTGAAGGCTTCATACTTCTGGATGAGAGCCACAGATTTTGTCTCTTTTACTTGAGCATTGCCTTCATGAGTCATTTTGAGAGACTCAAACATGTCATGTGTTACATCTCTGTTGGTGATTTTCTCATATTCTGTTTTAGAGATAGCGTTCAGAAAGATATTTCTGGCTCTGTGGTGTTTTTTGAAATCTAATTTCTGTTGTTTATCCATGTTCTTTTTGTCAATCTTGTTTCCGTCTTTGTCTTCTGGATGTATGTAACCATCTAGGACCATATCCCATAAATCATCATCATGACCTAGAAAGAAACTTTCTAGTCTATCCTTCCAGTATTCAAAGTCTTCTCCATCAAACACAGGAGGTTTGGTGCAGTTGTTGTTGTTTTGTTCAGTTGCCATAGTGTTTTCCTTCTGGATCTTTTTCTGACACAGTTAGGTGTTTGCACCCAGAACTAGAGCTCTGATACCAATTGAAGGGTGAGAAAACACTTAGAAGGGGGGTTGAATAAGTTTTTCCTTTTTCTCGCGCAATAATAATGGAAGGACACAAGTAATTTTATCCTGGTTCGTTTGAAATTCAAACTACTCCAGTCCACCCGCCAAGGTGATTTCACCTCTCTCAACGAGGACTTAATCCACTATAATCAAAACTGCTTACAAATGCACAACCAAACTATTGTGACTAAAAATACAATGCACAAGCCAGCTGCAAGTGACTAACACCTCTAAGACTATACTATTCTTAGCCCTCTTGAGAAATCTGACCCAACTGGTCTCTCAAGGAATAATTACAAAGATTATCTCTTAACAGTAGTGAATCAGAATGCTTCTAATAAGCTATATCAAAAACTGTGATTTATCACTAAGATTTTATCCCAATACTTAAGAATTACCCACTATATACAAAGAGTTTACAAGAATGAAAATAGTGAGCTTCAGTATATTTTGCGTGGATCAGTAACCTTGCTTTGAAACAAATGGTCTTCTATATATAGCTTCAAATTTTGACCGTTACTGCCTTGAAGAAAGAGTATGCATTAATGATGCGTGTTAGCTTAACCTTTATGTTTCTAATGCTCTCGTGCGTAGTACTACTTGAGTGCGTTATCCGTCTTAGCATTAAATGATCAACGGTACTGTCAGAGCTTGTCTCTAGAAGTTTAAGAGTTTGCTTGCAGCATTGCAACATCAGAGTTTGCTTTAACTTTTCTTCTATCAGATTTTTCTATATCACTTCTTCTGTTAATGTTTTCTTCATTTTATGTTCATCAGAGTTTACTTCAGCTTGCATTATCAGATATTGCTTTCAGCGTGCTTCTTTCAAATCTTTGCTTCAGCTAGCTTTATCAGAGGTTGCTTAAGATTACTTTTTATCAGATTTTGCCTTGGAGTGCTTCCTTCAGAGTTTACTTCAGACTTGCGTTTACATAAAATTTCTTAGGAATTTCTTTGTACTTTTTCTGCTCAGCGTAGAATGATGTTTCACTTTTGAGAATGCTTGAGTCAGAACATCATCTGAATTAGAAAACATACACATCAGAGTATAAAATATATTATACACAATTTATTTCATTGTTATCATTAAAACTCTAAGATATGATTAGAACCAAACTTTGTTCTAACACATTGGTCAATTATTCAGTACAAAACTCAACCGCTTCTTCAACAATGTATCGTTCAACAATACAACCCTCTGGCCAACTTCGGTTTTTCGCGTACCCTTTTAATATTTTCATATAACGCTCAACATGGTACATCTATCTCATATAAGTTGGTCCACACAATTGTGTCTCTTTCACAAGATAAAAAACAAGATGTACCATAATGCCAAAAAATGAGGGAGGAAAATACATTTCAAGCTCACACAAAGTAATAACCATTTCTTTTTGAAATATTGGTAAGATCTCATGATCGATCACCTTACTACTAATTAACCTGAAGAAAAAACACAATTTAGTTATGGCGCATTTTACTTTTTCTGTAAAAATAGTATGTATACCTATTGGTAGAAAATTCATCATTATAACATGGCAATCATATGTCTTTAAGCTCTTTAACTCGAGGTCTTTCATAGACACAAGTCTTCTAATATCTGAAGAGTAACTGTCTGGAACTTTAACTTCACTTAGAAACTTACATAATATTTTTTCTCCTTTCTAGATAAAGTATAAGCAGCATGCAACAAATATATTCATGTTCCTTTCTTCATGGGTCCTAATTCAGTTCTTATTCCCATCTGTATCAAGTCCTTTCTTGCTTTAAGGCCATCCTTAGACTTTCCTTGTATATTGAGTAACGTACCAATAACACTTTCAAATACATTTTTTCAATATGCATAACATCAAGAAAATGTCTTACATACAGCGACTTCCAATATGACAATTCAAAAAAAATTGACCTCTTCTTCCACCCACCTTTGACAAGCGTATGTGCAAAAGGCTTGCCAAACTGAATACTCATATCTTTCACCTTTTCAAAAATTTGGTCACCTGCCAACGTAGGTGGAGCTCTATCCTGTTCTGGATTTCCATTGAATGCCTTTCTCCATCCATGATAGTGATGATTTGAATTTAAGAATCTACGGTGATCGAGAAATACATTCTTTTTACAAAATTCCAATCGCTGCCAATTAGTGTTTTCTTCACAAATAGGACATGCTTTTTTACCTTTAATTTTATACCCTGATAGATTTCTGTATGCTTAATTGTGTCAAACAACATCGCCCTCAAATTGAAACTTTCTGTCCTATATCCATCATAAATCTCCACACCGTTCTCCCGTAAAATATTTAAATCTTCGATTAAAGGTGTCAAGTATACGTCTACGTCATTCCCTGGTTGTTTAGGTCCAGAAATTAATATAGATAACATCATGTACTTGCGCTTCATACATAGCCATAGAGGTAGGTTATAAATCATAATAATCACAGGCTTTGTGGTATGTGCGATGCTTTGAAGACCATGCAAGTCCATTCCATCAGTAGATAATGTCAAGTGATGGTTTCTTGTTTCTCCTCTAAAATCAGGATAATCATTATCAATTTTTGACAATTGTGATGAATCTGCCAGATATCGAAACTTTCCATCAATAATTCTTTCATCTGCATGCCAAGTCAAGTGTCTTGCATCAGTTTCACTATGAAACATACGTCTAAATCTCTGAATTATAGGAAAATACCATAAGATTTTTGCTGGAGATAATTTTTTCTTATATTGAGATAAACCGCATTTAGGACACTCATGTAATGATGCATATTCATTTCGAAATACAATGCAATCATTTGGACAATCATGTATCTTATCATAACTCATGCCAATAGAGCACAATATTTTTTTGAC